ATATAAGTAAGAGGTCACTTATTAGAGCAGTATTTAGTATAAACAGTTCCCAAGCAATTAAATGATTCCTTGGAGTTTTTTGCAAGAGAATATGACTTATTTTTTTTTTTAAAGTATGTGACTGTCACCTCTGCACAAAGAGCTGTTGTGCTACATCAACAGCTTAGGGGATTTATCAGAGGGGGTGCAGATGTGCCAAGAGTTTTCCTCTCTGTAAGACCCTGAGCTTCCTCTGGGTTTCCACTGAAAACTGGCTGAGATGTCCCGGGTCACAATTGCTGAGCAGCAGGATCCTGTTCACAGCAGGGCCCTGCAGACTGCAAGCGTGGGAGGGGACTCCACAGGCTGGAGTCAGGCTGGGCAGCTGCTAGCAAAAGCCGTCTGGTTAGAAAAGATCAGAGTGCTGGAGTGGAGCTGGAGTTGAGAACTCTGCTGGTGGGACAGCTGCATCATTCCCCTTCTTGTCCCAGGGAAAACAAGGGGCAGAGGGTAACCGCTGTGCCAACACAGAGCACAGAGTTCTTTAACGACCATCTTTCAGAAGATTGTTATAATAAATATTAAAGCCTACACAACCTGCACAACCATACTTGGTGACTCTGAATCTCTAGGAAACAAAGGGAAAGAGGAAAAGTAACATTTTTTTTTCTCAAAGTAATGTAGCATATTGTGGTAAATATGACATGAATTTTTTGTCTTCTAAGGCCTTATTATAAGCAGAACTATTTTTCCAACACTCACCCACTGCTGCCTAGGTTCAGTGTTGGTGGGAAAGACTAAGGGGTTCCAAACGGCAGAACAAAGGTGCCCTCTCCATAGCTGTTTGGATAGGGAACAAGGGCTAACGATAGTACACTAAAAATGACACGTCTTTCAGATCTGGGATACAAGGAGGGGACCAGAGAGCCACACAGCAACCAGTTAACCAAAAGCCCTCTGGCTCTGTGTGTGCCGGGCAGCACGACAGCAGACAGTCAAGTTCCTGCTTAAGGAAGAGCTATGAGCCATGCGGGGAGTCCTGGTTTGATGAAACTTGGAAGACATATTCCACACAACTTTGCCTGAGTGGTTTTGTGTTATTTTAACATTTCACTTTCAACTAGAAATCTCTCAGTCTAAGTTTAAAGTCACTAATAGTATTTTTCAAATGCATTATCAACATGTACCAACAAAATCCTTGTATATACTATAGGGCATCCTGGAAATTGATACACACTCAGAACTCAATACCCAATTGCTTTCTTATCTTGTTTACAGTTTCAATTTTTTTTCTTAAAAGCATCACCATCACAGATTTTTTTCCAGAAGATTCTGAGAAAAACATAAATAGAATGTGCTGTGGTCCTCTCCCATCCTGGTCTCTATCATACTGTCTTGAGTATTTATCCTCTGATCTTGCCACTCACGTCTTCAAGTAAAGACAATTCCAGCAGACAGCCTGGGAACCCAGAGCACACTTACTGCTCCCTGGAGGGAAGACGAGCCGGTTCCTACATCCTCTTCTCCGTCTGGCTCCTGGTCCTCATTGTCGGTCCAAGAGGACACGTCCTCTATGGAGCTGGTCAGCTCGGGCAAACTCTTAGATGTTAACCTGAGGAGTTCCTCTGCAGAGGTTTCCTGTGGGGACACAATTAAAGGCCCATCACGAATTATCCCATGGCACAGCCAGTTCTTGAAGCCAACCTGGCAGCGTCAGGCTACGTGCTCCCGGTCCAAACACCGTCTGGACCATATGCTCTGCATTGGCAAGGTTACCTCAAATGTCATGGGTGTGGGCCCAATTTAAGCACAAACCATTTTTTCCCCCTTAAAAGTGTGCGTTTCTTAAGTCACTGTTTCTTTGGGCGATCCATTCTTCCCAAACTTAAGATCCTTCAGCGGCTTCCTGTCTTGCTTTCAGGATACAATCTAAACTCCCTCAACGGCAGACCAGATGCGTCTTAGAAATTTGGCCTTTGCCTAGCTCTTCAAACTCACCCCACTCCATTCTCCCCTCCAACCTACACCCTCCGTTCAAGTCCTGTTGCCATCCCAACCCTCTGGGCTCTCCTTTGCCCACTGCCTTTTCCACCAGCAGCAGCTCCCTCTGCTGAGATCATCCTTGTTTCACGATGGAGGCCTCGCTGGGCAAAGCTTAAGCAGCCTGTCCTGAAAGCCCTCCTGGGTCATCTCAGGAGGTGTTCCATTTGCCCTCCCTTTCTTCTCTAATGTCCTTGACCATGGCTTTTATCTCCTCGCAATGACTTGTCTATCTCCCCTGCTTGTCTGAAAGTTCCTCCAACTGAACACCATTTCTACTCCTTGTCGTGTCCCCAGGCCTACCCCAGAGCCCAAATATCCTGTCTCCCCCCTCCCACTAGCGTATGCTCATTAGAAAGAGATTAGGTTGTTAGTTGAATCAAAATGCCAAAGTGGAGACTGATAATGTCTTTTCAATGAAAGTGGCCCTTGATCAACTTTTAAAGGTCAACAAAAATACACGCAATCAGACTCCATTTAGATTACATGGTAAAGGGGGCTACATTAACACAGCCCTTTGTTCTTATGTACAGTTAAGGCCAGAGTAGGTTGTGGGGTGCAGGTGAGATTATTTAGACCTCCTGACAGTCCCGACTGTGAAATGCCACAGCACATGAGGCCAGGGGCCAGAGAGGGGGTCAGGGCTGCAGAGCTGATCCAAGGTCAGTAAAAAGAGAAACCTGTTCTCTCTTCATTCTCCCACATCAACCACTTCTACGAGGAGGGAAACACATAGATAGTTTTGATCATCATGTTGCTTGAGGATTGATAGAAAAGTGGACCAAAAAATGACCCATCTTAAACAACAGATGTCACTAAATATTAGTGGGATGGCATCCAAGGACAATGACGGTTGTTACTAGTTTGATGCTGGTTTCACCTTCAAGGTACCTGAAGATAATTCATTTTAGGCCAGTAATTATGAATAGTATACTGTTAGTCCTTACCTAAGAAAAGGAAGAAGGGGTTATTAAAAACAAAGTGAGTTCAGTCCTCTTCTGTGATGTCAACTCTGCTAGACTATTAACAGAAAAGGAGTCAAAAAAGAAACAAAACAAAGATTCCAACTGGTGAGTATATTGCACAGCAGCTACAGGACAGACTGCTTCAGCGTCATTACAAATGGTGCTGTAGAAATGGACTTCCTGGTGTGGAAAGATTCTTACAGCATGCTTGCTACTCAGTGAAAAAGCAGGTTAAAATAGTATATATTAACCATGATATTAATAATGTATGTAACAATAAACTAGATGTAATACTGTGTGATAACCATAAAGGCAGGCATTGCTGCCAGGCGCGCTAGGACCCGCTGCACTGCACAGGGCCCTTTATGATCTCGTGCAATCTCCCTAACATCCTCATGAGGTAGCTGCTGATTCTCATTGCACAGATACGAAAATGAAGATTTAGGGAGATGTAACAGGTTGCCGAGGACACACAGCTGTTAAAGGGCTGTGCTGGCACTGAGGGACTGCCTCAAGGGGTGTACTCTATCTCCTTGTGTTTGATTCCATTTAAAAGAAAACGTGTGTGCATGTTGTAGGCACGTGCACACACACACGTTCCCAGCTGGAAGGACACACCAGTTAACGGATAGTACTATTGGTGGTATTACGAAAACGTCATCTTCTTTTTCAACCCTCTGTATTTTTTGTGGATTGTCTACATTAGATATAATAAATACATACTTCTTGTTAATAAAAACCAAGTGTGAAAAAAAAAAAGTAAGCAAGAAGCTCTGTCTTGCTTCTAGGAATAGAATAATTTGGATATTCTTAGTTCATTCATTCAACAAAAGCTTTCTAAGCTCCTACTACATAAGTAAACAACATACTTGTGTGGAAACAGGACACATCTCTCTGCAAGAAAGTAACTGCTCTAGTTCTAAAACAATGCCTTAAAGTTTGTGACAAGGTGACTGTTATCTATGATAACAAAATTTATGTTTTTATTAATCTTCATATTCAGCAACTCAAAAGCTCCCTCCACCCTTCCAAATATGAAGGCAGCAACAAAGCCTGTGGACTATTTGTTTTGTTGGATAAAGAGGAAGAAAAGATGTCAGGTGCCTAAACATGGATGCCGCTTTTTTACCCTCCATGGATAAGCACCCCGCATGGTATAGATGAAGTTCAGGAAAAACGGCGGTGCTGTAGCAGCTTATTTCCGGGCTGTAAACGGAGCATGGTGGGCAAAAGTGAAAGGTGTCACTGCTCTGAGGTCCAGGTCAGCTCAGGACCGCAGCTCAGTACAGATGCCCAAGAGCTGGTGGACTGAGAACTTGAACGGACGCCCATTCTTTGGTTCTAGGATGCTGCTAGCCCCACAAGGACCCCAGCAAATGTCCCAAAAAGTCAAAGCCTCTGGCAGGAACACATTCTCTTTTTCTAATACCGCTGGCTCTGGTGTCCTTCACATCTCATTTGCATAAAGGGCAGCTTGGTGCAGCTGCAGATGTGGAGTCCAGTGGACTCAGGATAAAACCTGCTTCTGACGCCCACTGCCGTGTGACCTCAGGGCAGGTAAGTAGCCATTCACATTTTAATTCCATTCTTTGAATAAAAAGAACTAATACCTGTCTCAGGGGATTTTTAAAGAATTAAATGAGGTAACTGGTAAAAAAGCACATGGTGGGCACCTGACTGGCACATGTCGTGCTCTTTCTTCCATCAAGGAGTGTGAGACCAGCGAGCAGCCACCATCCAGGAACTGGTTTTCCAAGTCCTGTGTGTGCCCCTCGATCATTTGCTTTTTTGTTTTTATCTGTGTTTTGTGATTTTTTGGGTGTATGTTTGTGGATGATGGCTTGACATAGAAAACTGTCCCCTTCACCACCTTCCAAACTAGCAGGAGAAAGAAGTCTGCATAGAAAGGAAGGTTTGGTGGCACGAGTATAATTCCTGTGCAGAAACCTGCGTTCCTCAGCCACAGACCGTGGGGAGGTGGGCTGTGCACACAAAACGAGCATTCTCTGCCAACACGTGCCTCTGTGTGTGTGTGTGGGACCTGATGATGCTTTCAAGCTCCTGATGCCGCTGGCAAACAGAGGCATTTGTTTCTCCTTCTCTTGCAGCATTCCCCTCCTTGTGGAATCTGCCAGCTGACAGAGAAAATCCCAGGGTTTGCTCTCCTTCCCAAGCCCTGTGAGGGGACGCAGATGGCCCACAGGCAGATACTCTGGGTGAAGATGGGTATGGTGCTCTCGGGACTCAAGAGAAGTCCCCGGGGAGCCCCTTGGTATCTCTGGGAGGGGTGGAAAGGACCAATGAATGGAAAATGGCTCAACGCCTGCCTCCAGGGACTCAGACGGCCACTCTTCTTACCAAGTTTGCAGCAAGGCTCTGCAATATTCTTTCTGGAGGCCTGAGAGTCTAGGTGAAGGGTTTGGGGTAAAAGGTACAAAGAGAGGAAAGCAGATTTTTCAGATAGCTCAAAATGTTCTTCTAATCTATTTGTTAAACACTGCAAAAACTGGCAATAGTTCTTGCAATCTAAGAGGGAAAATACATAAAAACCTACAGACATCGGGTTCAAAACAGCAGGGATAGTGACAAAGAATCCCCCATACCGGCGAAAGTGTCACGCTGCAAAGGGCTAAGTCTGGTGCGGCCTCACCCCCCATCCTTCGAGACCAGGATTGGAACGAAGCCTTCACTAGCCCCCAGTCACACGGACTCTTTCCTAGTGTCCTCGACAGTGCAAGACAACGGCTCCGACACAAGGGAGGTCCACGCCTCCTCCTCACCACAGCTGTGGAGCCCTGTGGCCTTAAAGAAAGCAGATGCCAGGGCCCGGAACACGGGCTCTGTGTTGACACACTCTGGGGGGGAGGGTGAAAGAAGCCCCCACCTGGGGCCTTTGGACCTTGTGAAGGGAGAACCGTGAAGAAGAGGCAGCCGCGAGACAGGGGATGGACATGGGGCTGGGCGCTAAGGGCCCGGGTCCTGGCACTGATGACAGCATGGTGGCCTCTGCCAGAGAGTAGCCGGCCGTGGAAGCTCTGCCTCACTGTCTCGTTTGTAAAACTGGGGAGGAAGAGAGGCAGGATGGTAGCTGGACAAGCAGGATTCACGAGGCTTCCTCCAGCCCCAACACTCGGGGCCTGCGGCCTACCCGTGCAGCCCTGCGCCCCTCTCTCCCACTGCCCTGCTGTCTAGACTTTAACATCTCCTCTCAGTTTCTCCTGGGACAGCTGCTGTCTCCACATTGTCCTCCCTTCCACCCTACCATTTTTACTTCTCCTTAGTCCTATTATTTCTTTTCTAACCCCTAACATATATCTATAAAGACTCTTAAAGGGGCCAGGCGAGGTGGCTCACACCTGTAATCCCAGCACTTTGGGAGGCCAAGGCGGGAGGATTGCTTGAGGCCAGGAGTCCAAGACCAGTCTGGGCAACATAGGGAGAGCTGTCTCTACAAAAAATTTAAAAAGTAGCTGGATGTGGTGGTGCACACTGGTAGTCCTAGCTACTCGGGAGGCTGAGGCAGAAGGATTGCTTGAGCCCAGGGGGTCAAGGCTGCAGTGAATTATGATAGGACCACTGCACACTAGACTAGGCAATAGAGTGAGACCCTGTCTCTAAAAAAAAAAAAAAAAAAAACTCTTAAAGGAAAGCAATTTAAATGCACTTTGGCTAAGGGCCTCCATGTGGCCTTGTCCTATAGAATCAAGGCTGCTGAAATGGCCCAAAGTAAATGTGCAGGTGCACACACATCTCTGTGTGGCATGGGGTTGGGGGTCTCAAATCCAAATTCACCACCACCTTTACGAACATTAAAACACAAAACAAAAACGACCTACCTTGCTGGCCACCACCAGCTGCACCATCCCAGTAGCTGAGCGCAGAATGGCCACAGCTTCCTCGTGGGAGAGCCCGACCAGTAAGTGACCATTGATCACCAGCAGCTCATCTCCTAAGGACAATCTGCCATCCCTGAGGAAATGGAGATGGGAAAAGAATCCCTTGTCAGGACATTCTGGGCCCGAGAAGGGACATTTTCCTGGAGCTAGGGAGGTCATGAGAAGGGACAGATAAAATCGGGCTAAAGAGGAAGCAGTGACAACCAGAGACAGTTTGGGATAGGACTGCTTTATCTTTTGTGTCCAGACTCCCACTACAGGAGTGGAAGGCTCACGATTTCAGGTGGTGGCTTAGTAATAAGCACGTTCTTATGTTACACCATATCCAGCATCGGTGTCAGTGAAACTCCTATCCAGGTGGAGGTGTGACAGAGAAACCAAGACCCCCAGGTTTTTGGAGAGTCAAGACATTGTTTTATTAATCCTACCTGCCATCCTGCCCGATGACCAAGTCATCAACACAGGACCGAGCCATGAGCTAAGTTCAGACAGAGCAAAGGCATCCTAAGCCCACGAGCAATCCTTTCCTAGCCCACTGCCCCTTCCCGGGTGACATGACCCTGACCAGATCTCCTCTGAGGCACCTGTGATTCACGCTACCCTACGTGTGTCTGTACCCCCAACAGAGTTACAGGACCTTGAGGATAAAGTCTCCTGGTACCTTTTACATCCTTGGGTCCCTACAGCCAAGCTTTGGAAGCAGACTGATGAATTAAAAAAAACAAACAAAAAAACCCAAATTAAACTGCCTAATTGGCTGTTGTTGTAGGTACCAGACCTGCACTACAAACATGATTACACAAACATTTTCTGTTTCTTCATTTCTCTTAAATTCAATTATGGCTGATTCTGAGCTTCCTTCCCACTGGGCTGGCGGGAGACTCAGCCATCGGTGGGACTGTCCCTGCTAGGGTGGGTCAGGGCTCTGGGTGGTACCTGTGCCAGAGCACCAGGCCCCTTCAATCATGGCAGGTCAACAGTCCTGTGAGTTCCAACAAAGCCTCCAGTGGTCTGGTCTCCCATAATCCCAAAGGAGCCAGAGATTGCTAAATATGGGATAGGAAATCTGAGGAGGTGGAGGGACCCTGATCCTAGGGTTCCATCATACCTTGTAAGGGCTTCGATTCAGCACCCAGAGTGCTGCCATGGAGCCCATGCCTGTCTCCAACACGCCACGCTTCACCAACTCTGTCTCTCCCCAATCTATAGACTCTTTCCCTTACCTTCTTTCAATGAATCAACTCCTTTCTCTCCTTCCATCCTTACTCACCTTCAACAGCTTGTCTCTTATTCTCTCTTTCGTTTAGGGCATGCATGATAATCTTTTCTATGAATATAGGTTTCCTTTTTCTTTTTTTAAAATTCTACCACAGGTTTCTCAGAATGAATTTAGGTTTTAACAGATGACAGGAGACACCAGAGATTTCTGAAAGCCTCTGCTTTCTGTCCTTCAAAAATCTCTGAAGCAGAAAAATGCTAAGGGCCCTGCTAATTGCTTGGAATGGTGAGAGAAGGGAGATGTTCCTCATGGGAGGAGAGGGATTCAGAAATAAAGAATTCAATGGTTCTGGCCAGTGTCCCTGGGTTTACCTCTCCACAACACCATCAAAACAATCTCCCTCCCTCTTTCTATTTCCCTCTGTAATTCCATTTGTCTCATCTCTCTATTAACTAGAATGCCCCTACTTGTGACTCATACACACCAGAGGCCAAGAGACACACACACAACTCCAGGCTCAGAATGACAAACAAAATGATGAGACCCACTAGAAATGGCTCAGATGGAAAACAGACAAGAACAGTTCTATGTAAGCTTGTCTCTGGGCACAGGAACTTCCTAATTGCCAACTTGCCAAACACAGACTAGAACCTGAGACCTGTGATTAATGGGAAAATAGCTACCTGACAGGAGTTCCTTAAAGCATATATCATTTGGGAAGTTTAATAATGCTCTTCTGGGTAAAAACCACCTAAGGTCTTAATCCTTCAACAATTACTGCCATCCAGATAACTGACAATTGCAGTTAATCTTATCTCTACTTTAGTTGTTAACATCCTAAAGACTCTGCTAGCCTGTGCCCTGGTCCTCTTGGTTTTCCATTCTTCAGACTAAACACCTCCAGCTCCTTCAACTATACCTCGTAAGACATGCATTTGAATCTCCTGTCAGTCTTGGCTAATACTGCTCTGGTTTGCCATATCCTCCTTAGAATCAGGGTGCCCGGAACTGAACACCAAATTCCAGACTAGAAAAAAGATGATCACCTCCTTCCATCAGTGAAACTGTCCCTTTATATACCTACTACATGTGTGTGTGCATGCAACATACGTACATGCCTCACCATGCCTTGCAAATAGTAGACACCCTATGTACGTGGAAGCAATTAGCTAGCAGGCAAGAGCATGCCTGACATTTTGGGATAGTTACATCCTTCATACTCAAAATAAACAATGGTTTTTACACAGACTCTAGCTAAACACTCTCTACTTCAGACCATTATGTGAATTAAAAAAGTTTTGAAGTATGAATTGCTTTCAAGGCCGGGCGCGGTGGCTCACGCCTGTAATTCTAGCACTCTGGGAGGCCGAGGCGGGCGGATTGTTTGAGCTCAGGAGTTCGAAACCAGCCTGAGCAAGAGCGAGACCCCGTCTCTACTAAAAATAGAAAGAAATTAATTGGACAACTAAAAATATATAGAAAAAATTAGCCGGGCATGGTGGCACATGCCTGTAGTCCCAGCTACTCTGGAGGCTGAGGCAGAAGGATTGCTTGAGCCCAGGAGTTTGAGGTTGCTGTGAGCTAGGATGACGCCACGGCACTCTAGCCCGAGCAACACAGTGAGACTCTGTCTCAAAAAAAAAAAAATGAATTGCTTTCAGATCACAAGGAGAAAAATTCACATTCACTTTCTTTCCCTTCCACATCTGCATGACATGTCTCTAAGTGTGTGTGAAATCCTGTGGCACCTGACAAGTGAAGCCCCAGTGCATGAACTGTGGTCACACTTAAAACCGATCACCTTCCCCAGTTATCAGTCAAGTCTTAACGGGAGTTAAGATGTCAGGAATGTGGTGTTCTGTTCAGCAGCATATTCAATAAGTAACTTTGTGTTGCTTTAGTACCAGTATCCCAAAAGGTAGATATGTAACATTCACTTAGAACTAAAAGTAGACTAGAAAGAGATTCAATCTCTCTTTCATGGTTTGGAAGATCCTGGAATATCTTCTGCAATTAGCCACTTCCTGTGCTCAGAGATGTGTTTAATTAGAACCGCCCCCACCTGGCTTCCTTCTGGGCTCCACCATAATCGTTATGAACTGTAATTACCAGGGCTTTGACCAAGTGGAAGAATACTACACCCAGGGAAAGGTAGGGGAGGACAAGAGGCAGAGAGGTGGGGAGAGTTATCTAGTCACCTGTGAGCGGCACCTCCTTCCTTCACTTGAGTGACAACGATAGCGTGAGGTGAGCGCTTTGATCCTCGGCCTCCACTAACCTGAATTCCCAGCCCATCCGATTCTTTGAGCAGCTCCATCTTCCATATCCGGCCAACTTCCTCCTTGGAAGAAAAAGTGAGCACACCGTGAAAGATACTGACAGACACGCGGCATTAACACGGGAGAGCGGAGCTGTCATGTCAGGCGGAATATCCATCACTTGTCAACAGACATCACAGAAGAAAAAAAAATTCGGTGGATTGGAACAAAATCTCTGGCTGGCAGTGCTGTCCGACAGAACCTTCTGTGATAACAGAAATGTCCTATATTCGTGCCATCCAATATAGAGCCACTGGCCACAGGTGGCTGTTGAGTGCTTGAAATGTGGCTAGTGGTAACTGGGGAACTGAATTTTTAATTTCATTGAAACGTAATGAAATTCAAATAGCCGTTTGTGGCTAGCGGCTATGATACTGGACAGCACAGCACAGCAAGCGTGATTGCGGAATTTCCTGACCAGGGTCCTAGGAGGTGAAGCTTATTCAGCCTGAATCTCAGATGTCACTGTGTATGTAAACACTGGCTGTGTCTGGGTTCTTTTTACTTCTGCACAAGTAACAATTAATACAGGAAGATGAAAGGAAGATAGCTCAGGTCTTGGTGCCAGGAGACTTCAACTAGTTTGAACCCAGGTCTGCCACATATAACTTATGAAAGTCACTTCACCTAATGCCCTAAAATCTCAGCTTCCTTGCCTCTAAAGTGGGAATAATTATTAATACTTCCAGGTTTGCTATTAGGATTAAATGAGGTATATTTATGGAAACAAGCAGTAGTAGCAAAACAACAACTAGAAGATACATAATAAATGTTGATGATAGGTAACCATATACTACTTATATATACATATGTATGCACATAAATGTTAAAAAAACATCATATTGAATTGAATCTCAAACTTCCTTCAAACATACAAATGAGACCTTTGGTAGGAGAAACCAAAACAGAAAATTAATTGATAAATTTGATACGAACTGCTACAGACACATGCTCTTTAAATACGTTAACAAATGCTTCCAATGCTATCAAAACCTTCCCTTTAAAAAAAAATCTAATAAATGTCTCTAAGCCATCTGATTGCCGGTAGCCTTTCTGCTTTGGTTCATCCTCTACTTGTCTCCCTATTTCCCTCCAAGGACACGAACATATGCTCACTGCAAAATTGTTGAGCTCTCTCAGTTACTTAGCTGTTCAGAGAAATGAAAGCAAAACCTTCAAAAGTGATTTATTTGGGACTCTTACTTTAGGCTCACCCTTGTAGTTCTTTTTAGCCCTAGATATATAGGCATGGGTCATAATACATTCCTCAACACGTAAACAAAATCCATCTGCTTTTCACATCCATCATGAAAGTCCAATGGAACCATCAAGGTCCAACATGGACAAAGGCATCATCCCCCTAGAAATAGGCAACCTGCCCATTCCAGCTGCTTGCAAAGGAGGAAGAATGTGAAGCATTTAGAAAATCTGAATTACACACTGTCAGAAACTAAAATGAAACTTTATGCAATAGTAAAAAAACCAGATGTTGAATAGTCACTGATGTGCAGCAAGAAAAATGTCTGGGGAAATTATTACCAGACAGAGACCTGTTGGATCCTATACTTTCTTTAGCGCAGCACTGCTTGGTGGGGCACCACCATTCCACGAAGTGGTGCCAACCGTCTCCTCCACCCGCTGACCACAGACAAATGGAGCCTGTCTGGCCAAATGTAACTTCAGAAGTCACTGGCTTACCACAGTAGTTCATGAACTTGTCAACGATCCCTATTTCATCCAATCACTTCACTTTGGACTCCACAGTTTTTGGTTTGCTGCCTCTGACCTCTGGAACACCTTTCTCTTCCCCATTCAGAAACATCTTCCCTGGCCTTCAAAGTCTCTCATTGCTCTACCACTTCCAAAAAGCCATCCTTGAGAATCAGTATGATTGCCAAGGTAGCAGCTTCCAATGCTTCCACTACATGAGACCCTAGCAGATACCACTGGAAAGAACAAATTCAGGGATGTGCCAATCAGCTGTTGTCCTGGCTTACTGGGCCCTCTGACACCAGCACCAGGACAGCCCTGTGGCTGCTTCCCTGCGCCTCCCAGTGCAATTGAGGGCAGGATGGTGGCTTGTTTTTTCCACAGAACATATGCCATGGCTCCTGGGGTTTAGAAGAGGAGAGACAGTATTTCTCCCTCCCCCAGTACAGACAAGCTGTGGACCTCTTTCCAAGAGCAACACACCATTATTATTGGTTTCAGCCCAAATTGGTAGAAACCTATCCACCCCCCTTACAGTTTACACTATCATTCTTTTCCCACTTCCCCCTCCTCTTTGTTAAACAGAACACGTTTAAGTATGGTTAACAGAGGGTCTAACAATAGTAGATACATACATTTCTAATGTCAAATACTTTTAGAAGTAGGATTTGTGACAAGAAACATGCAAAACTATGTTCATGGGGATGGAATAATGGCCTGCATGTATACTCTGACAGGAGAGTTAGAGACAGTTTTCACCAGGAGCACTTGCATACCCACTCCACACACCTGCCCCTGCCCAGTACACACAGTTAGTTAAAAACAAACAAAACACATATCTAATAAAAATGGCTTCAGAGGGTAGAAATGACCAATCTGTAATATAGCCTCTCAACTATGCTAGTCAAGAAACAGATCTTCTGGTTCCCTTTTATCCAATAACATGATTTTTTTCATAATTGAAAGTAGGAACTATAAGGGGAGTGTTCAAAGAAATCAATGCAAGTTTCCTTGCGTTGGAATTTCTTGATCAGCTAATGAAGGAGTTCAGACGAATATAAAGGAAGACATGAGCAGCAAGAGGCAAACGTTATCAGTTTCAATTGTACAACTGTCAGTACTAAATTGAGCTACCTATAGCTAAAGCAATGCTCAGTTAGAAATAAAATCAGTTTCTAACACGTATTAGGCTAAAGCTGGTACTGGCCAAAAACCAACAGGCCAACTTAAATGTAACAATATTAAGGATATTTCCAACTGCCTCCATACAATTCCACCTGGGTATCTGACACATACCTCAATAAGGTCCAAACTGGACTCTTCCCTCTGCCACTCCTGGCTTTCCCATCTCAGTGGGAACAGCACCATCATCCACTTGTGTTAAAGATGATTCGCGAGCCAAAAACCCATGATTATCTTTGATTCCTATTTCATCTCCCACACCCAAAGCATGGGCAAGGTCTGTAGACTCCACGACCAAAATAACCCCACATCCATTGACTTCTGCTCATTCCCAACTCCTTCCCCTAAGGCACCAGCATCTTTAGCTTGGGTGACCACAATAGCCTCCTGTCAGGTCTCCTTTTTTATTCCTTACCTCCTACAATCCATTATTCCCCATTAGATATCCAGGGAAGACATTTAAGAAACATACGTCATGATGAATTCAGCTTAAGTCCTCCAATGGCTCCCCCACCAGCCTGAGAATAAGGTCCCAACTCCTGATGCCCATGAACCTCTGTAATCTACCCTGCCCACATCTGCCGAATCACCTGCTAGCGTTTGGTCTCTGCTCCTGGAACACTCTATCACTCCTGCTTTAGGGCCATTGCTTTTGCTGGTTCTTCCCTGGGAATATTCGGCCCCCAGATCCTGCAGGGCTGCCCTTTCCTGACACCCAGTCTTCAGCTTAAACATTACCTCTGCATGAGCTCTTCCTTCTGTGACACCCAATGTCAGCAAGCCCCTTGCCCATGACACTGCCCAGCCATCTGTCACTTCACCCTGTTTTATTTCATTTATAGCACTTGTCACCATGTGACACTGCGATTCATTTATTTGCTTATCTATTGTTTGTGGCCCCTTATATGCTATACACGCCATGGGACAGGAATCTCGTCTATTTTGTTTACCAACATGTTCTCTAGCGACTAGAATGGTGCCAAACACATGATAATGATATCGCATAAGTACCACTGAATTAACAAATACAGAACGTTTATCCACTAATCTTACGGTTCTTTGACAGCCACTGATCCTGACGGTAAGAGGCTTGCGCAGATGGGAGACCTGTATGTTTGCCAGTGTTCGACGTGTGGTCCCCAGTGCAGGTGTAGAGACTGAGTTCTGCAACAAGCCCTGTCTAGACGGATGGTTTGGACATTCGTTTCCTTTTACATTGCCTTAAAGGGCAACAAGACTTTGTCAGCCTATTGAGAAAAAGCCAAACCATGAAAAATTAGATGCTGTGGACTTCTGTACTAATGTTGTCAGAGCGTTACCCAAACTGTAAACTGCCAATTACTGTGTGAGTTCACACATGCATCTCTTCACTGAAGCCAATGAAGGGATTGGATTTATCTACCAAAACAGGGGCTGTACATTAAAGGGAGCTGTCTCACAGCATATAAAGGATCTTATTTCTGCTGGAACTGAAAATAAAATTTTACAATAGCATCTTTCCCCAAATGTTTGAAGACACGTAATCCAACTAGAATCTCACCACAGTAAATGTTCTGGTTCCCATTGCAAACCCTTTCTGAGATCGTTTGCTTACTCCTTCTTATTTAGAATAACTAGTGAAATGAAGAAATGTGTGACTGTAATGTCAGAGCTGAAAGTCCCTTAGTCATCAAGACCAAAATGCTCAGTTGAGAAAACTGAGCCCAGGTGAGAAAACAGAAGCCCAGAGAAAGGTCATGGCGGCCTGAAGGCCACGGGGCTGGGGATGGAAAAGCAGGGACTGGAACTTGGTGTCCCCTCTCCCAGGGCCTGGTGCTCTCAGGTGCCTTCATTGGTAAATATCTACAGAGCACCTACAGGTGCAAGGCTCTGAGCTAGGACTGGTGACAGAAAGACAAAAAAGGCCCTGCCCTTAAAGTCTCCTGGGGGCACAGCAAACCAAATGGTAACTGGATTACGTGGTGTCCGTGCTCTGATGAAGACGAGCAGCAAGAACTGCAGGAGCCCAGAGAAGAGACATCTAACAACGCAGCAGGTGGCAGGAACGTCACACAAGCCTCCTAGAGGAGGGTGTCAGGTGCTTAGTCCCCAGGGAAGGGTGGATGCTAAGCTACAAAGGAAAGGGGAGAAGAAACCGGGTGGTGAGAGCAGCATCCATAAAGGCTCAGAGACAAGAACGAAGATGGCCTTTGAGAAAATCTGCAGCAAGTTCAGCCCAAATCGGAGGAAGAAAGCCATGAGACACTGGGCGTCTTGGATAGCTTCAGGACGGGCTGGTGGCCAGAAAGATCAAGCCATGAGCAGCTTGGAACTTCCAGCCTCATCTCCGTCTTGCAGGGAGGGGAGAAGAGCTGGAGTTTGAGTTAATAACCAATCATGAATAAAGCATGAAGCCTCCATAAAAATCCTTGAAGTATGGGAATGCATCCACACACATCAGGAGGGTGATATACACCCCCCAACTCCATGGGGACCCTTCTGGACCTTGCCCTATGCACCCCTCCATCTGCATTCTTTATTATATAATAAACTGGTAAAGGTGGAAAAAGAAAAAAAAGAAAGCAGTGAGATAGGGGCAGAAAGTTAAGCAGGGATCAGATAATGAAGAGCCTCAAATGACAAGCCAAGGTGTTTGTATGTTCCACTGAAGGCAAAGTGGACGCACCCACAGAGTTTAAGCTATAGTGCAAGCATGTGTGTGTGTACGTGTGCACACGGTGTGCACGAACGTGCATGCGCACTCGTGAGTGATGCAATTTGCTCTTCACAAAGGTCTTCTGTTTGCAGTGGGGGCAGTGGATGAATGGGACGGGAGTAGTGCTGTGAGACAGGTAGGGAAGTACCATGACAGCCCAGGAGAGAAGCAAAAGCAGCCTGGCCCTGACCTGAAGTTGTAGGAGTAGAGAAAAGAGAGGTGGACTGAGCTGCAAGATCTCAAAGGGAAATGGAGTTGACAGGACTTGGTGATTGACTGGACGTGGAGTCAGAAAGATGGCAGCATTTCGGCTGACTCCACAGTGACCAATTGTCCCACTTTGCCTGGGATGAAGGGTTTCCCAGGATTTTCAGTGAGAAACCAGGGAAAGTTCTGGACACATCAGGATGGTTGGTTACTGCAGTTGAATCTCATCAAACTTCTCGCTTGGGCAACTTTGTGGATGGTGAGACCTGGAACACGGGAGTGGCAGGAAAGGGATACATTGAGTTTTAGGCATGATCTGAAATATCCAGGATGGGGACATCCTGCAGGCACTTGATATAAAGCTCAGGGGCTCGGGACAGAAGTGAAGGCTCAGACATGCACTTAGGAGGTGTTACCATGTAGGACAATATAAGTTCACCCAGTAACCGTGGGGGCTTCCTAGAAGAGGATTTCTTTATGCTGCCTCTAATGCAAACATCAGGGACCACCCAGGAGATGTTCTAACTGTGATTCTCCTTCCAAGTTTTCCATCCTTTCCTACAGATTCAGATCTGGGATGGCCTTCATGAGGTCTCTGCTGAACCGCTTACAGAGAAGACTTAGGGAAAAGGTCTGGTACGGTACAGGGTAGATGACGATTACTAGGCTAAGATCACAAATGTACTCACAGACATACACATGAATAAACTTGTCTACTTGGCAAATGGTAAGACATTTTTTTTCTTTGTTAAGCGATTATGTTTTTTTGTATTCATTTTCAACATGCAGCATTACAAAAATACACATTTTATATAAAAAGACTTGCAAAAACTGGCCGGGCGCGGTGGCTCACGCCTGTAATCCTAGCACTCTGGGAGGCCGAGTGGATCGCTCAAGGTCAGGAGTTCGAGACCAGCCTGAGCAAGAGCAAGACCCCGTCTCTACTAAAAAAACAGACAGAAATTAGCTGGACAACTAAAAATATATATATACAAAAAAATTAGCTGGGCATGGTGGCGCATGCCTGTAGTCCCAGCTACTCGGGAGGCTGAGGCAGAAGGATTGCTTGAGTTCAGGAGTTTGAGGTTGCTGTGAGCTAGGCTGACGCCACGGCACTCACTCTAGCTTGGGCAACAAAGCAAGACTCTGTCTCAAAAAAACAAAACAAAAAAAGACTTGCAAAAACTGTCACCTTGGATGAGTAATGATCTTTGCTAGAAAGGTAATAAGAAACTCTGAACTCACGTCTAAAATAGTTTATCTATGTCCTAAGAGAGTGTTATATTTTAGAGGATGAATCCAACTTTCATATTTTTAAAAATTAGTCTGCTTGTATATACGTATCATTACTTATTAATATTTTATAGAAACATTCCATTTTTTAAAAGAAATATTTGTTAAAAGGGAATCTGTTTCTTATTGTTCTGTTAAGGGAGAACAGAATAGAAAAACAAAGACTGATGATTTATTTTAACGTAATATTTTCTTAGAACAAATAACAGTCTATGAAAAAGAAGGACCTGACAAACAAAAATGGTCTGAATGATCATATTATAAGCTTTTTCTGTAATTTATTAGGTCTTTGCAGATATATTAAATCATTAATAAAGCAGAAACGGAACAACACTGACATGTTTAATTTGCCATTATTCAGTGAAATGGAATTTTTCCCCCAAAGGCTTAAGAGGTAAATAGCTAATTTCTGTTCTTCTGGAAATTCCATTTTAGCATGACCCTGGGTCCCAACTATGCTGGAATAAAAATAAAAATCAACTCTAGTCCAACAACCTCAGCAACCTTTGTGTGAAGGTCTATTGGTTCCAATTTGGGTGCCACCAGGATGTGAGAGGACGCCGTGCAGATCTCCTTCTTGCCGACTCTATCAATCCTGGGCAAATGCATCTAATAAAGATACTACTGGGGCTGAAAAAAGTGCTAAAATATTCATGCCTGAGAAGCGTGTGGTCCATTCTGACTTACCAAGACAAAATGTGCGACCCAGGGCCAATAATCAGAAAATGGATTATAAACAGTTAAGAAGAATGCGAATTCCAGATGGTAAGTTTCTTCTTTCTATAGGTGTGGCTTTAAAAAACAATGCCCCAAAGGCAGTAGAGCATGGTTTGGTTTTTCACTTTTTCATTTATACCTTATTGGACATTTGACCTTGAGCACAAAAACTAGACAAGGGAACTCTGGTATGGGTAGTCTTTAGACAGACTAATCCAGAAATTCAGTTTTAATTAATTCAATTTAATTATTACTTTTAATTAAGATGAGCAGAGGATGAGTATTCTCTTAAAAGCCTGGGTCTTTTTTTTTTTCCCTTTAAAATCATCCCAAATTGTGTCCACTGTGTCCTAGGTCAAATAAAAGCCTGCTCTTTGGATTGTATGTGAAATTCAATCTCCTTTGGTGCCTTAAATCATCAAAATGATTAAGGGAGCCAATACCCCTGGATCTTATTTTTTTCACCTTAGGCTTTCTGTGTATTTACAATCTTATCACTAGGGAAGAAATCATATCAAGAAGTATTGTTAACTGGCTGGGCACGGTGGCTCACGCCTGTAATCCCAGCACTCTGGGAGGCCGAGGCGGGAGAATCGTTTGAGCTCAGGAGTTCAAGACCAGCTTGAGCAAGAGTGAGGCCTCATCTCTACTAAAAATAGAAAGAAATTAGCTGGACAACTAAAAATATAGAAAATAGCCGGGCATGGTGGTGCACGTCTGTAGTCCCAGCTACTTGGGAGGCTGAGGCAGAAGGATTGCTTGAGCCTAGGAGTTTGAAGTTGCTGTGAGCTAGGCTGACGCCATGGCACTCTAGCCTGGGCAACAGAGTGAGACTCTGTCTCAAAAAAAAAAAAACAAACAAAAAAAAACCAAAGTAGTATTGTTAACTGATAAGAAACACATTATAATATTTTTATTGCCCTTAATTTGGAAGGGGTATACATTATCTTTTTTTGTCCTTAATCCTTTTTGTGGGAGACCCACCCATACAACTGGAAGAAAATCATTGATAGAAACAATAAAATTTTCTCTCATTTGTTTACATATTCCATCTACACATAATGTCTCCTCTGCATAAGGCTTTATGAAGATCACCCAGCTTCCCGAATGAAGGAACATGCTCCCTCCTCAAGAGAGGAGTCATTTTGATTCTTTTCAACCCATCATGCTGATTGGCTACAATGGCAAAATATGCATGAAATAGCTTTACTAGAAATTATATTGACTCCCAGGGCACCATTTCTCAGCATATAAAGTTGAACTTGATACTTATATGCCCATTTTCCACCTTCCCAACTTTCTCTTTCATCCCTAGAGGGTGTCTCCTGAGTCAGAGAGGAAAGCAAGCAGCACCCACTCAGGATGTTATTGCTTCATCTGGAACCCACAGGGATATCCAACAAGAGGATTCTCGGAATGAACACATTTACCGTAAGGAAATGTAACTCTCATATGAAAGAATGTTGGTTACAATGGGAGAAACAATTTAAGGCTAGAAGCTCATCTATTGCCATTCAGAACATACCTAAAGGCAAAGCAGATGTGGTAAGACCAACCTTGACCATCATGACTGGATATCATAGCATCGGAGATTTCTGTGAAGCTTCCAAACTTCACTGGAATTTACCAATGTAATTGATATGATCCCATGAAAATGTCACTTGTTTTGAACTGCTAAAAATAAAAGCAGATGCTTCCCTGAATGTTAAGATACGCTTCCTGTGTAATATTAAGGCTGGGATGTTTGTACTATCAACTGCCATCAGGAATTCTTGGCCTTAAAGTAGCAATTCCACTAGTGACAGCAGTGATAAATAATGATGCATCTAAGTACTTTATCTGGGCCTCATATGACTCAAATTTTAGCACAGAAGGCTTGAATTTTCCACTTATGATCACTTGACTAGCTCTTCATTTAAGTAGGATCAAACGACTTGAGTTTTTTTGTTGCTGTCTTCTGATCATTTATCTTAATGAAGTTATTGGCTTATACAATGCAAGGTCATCTTAGATATATTTTCTAAACCTTCAAAGCAACTTCAAACAATATTTCTTTTAAAATTCAGGTTCTACAATCAAACCAAACCTTACCCGTGCCAGGCAGTCACTTGACTGGAAGTCCGTCTTCCCACCTTTTGAGAAGCGCTGTTTGTCATTGCTTGTGGTCAGAGGAGCATCTGTCTTTGGAATTCCATGTTCTGTCCCTCTGGCCACTTCTGACCTCTCTAGATGGGGTCCATTTTCTAGCTGAAAGGCATGCCCATTTCCAAGTTCAGGGTCTGGGCCATTCTCCAGCTCAGCGCTGGGGTCACTGGCAGACTCACAGCCAGCGTTGCCCTTGGATTCTTCAGGGGCCTTGCTGGTAGGAGGCCTGGAAATGACCGCAAACTTTCTCGTTCTTTTCCCCTTTTTCGCAGTTTGGTCACCCAGTTCCAAGGTAGGTGTCTCTCCTGGTTCAGAGCTGTTGCCACTGTTGCCATTATAAGTACAATGGGCTTTATGCTTAAAGCGACGCAGCATGATCAGGTAGATGAAGCCGCCATTCCAGCACTGCTCAGCCAGGTAACTGCAACAGACAAAGAGATGCCGGTTAGAACCTCAAACACCCTTCCTGGACAGCACAGGGATAGAGACATTCAAAGGCCCACATGGCACCCACGTGACTAAATGTCTGGCTCACAGACTGAGGTACAAAGCTTCCTAAAGAGGCTCAACACTCAGTTCATTCTTTTAATCTATGAATTATTGATGCTAAAAATTACCCCCAAATCCCCCAAACAAACCAAAAAAACCCCATGAACTAGAAATTACTAATTTAAGTACCAAAGGATTAGGAGTTAGAGAAGGATTTTTTCTAGGAACAGAGCCAATCCTAACATATTATTAAAAAATAAAATTCTTCTCCACGCCTTCAACAATTTCTTGCATTGGAATTATACTAGACTCCCATCCACGTTGTTCCGATGGAATAATACTACAAGTCCTCAGGGCAAAGAATGGATAAAATGGATTGGGAGAAATGTAAAGTTCTGCTCTCAGGATCAAATAATCAGCTGCACAACAACAGGAGCCTCTGCCTCACAGCAGTTAAAGTGAAAAAAGATACTTAGTGGAGGTGGGAGGTGTTTGCTGGTGTTAAAACGTAGCCAGCCAAGCAGGTGCTGGCAACAACCATACGCGGCGCTGCGGTGAATGAACATCAGGCTCACTTCTTGTTAACAGTCCTCGCTTAGGCTGTTCGTAGCACACATGGAGTGTCATTTCCAGTCTGGGCAGCTCATTAAGAGGAACACTGACGAAGTGCAAAATACACAGACATAGGGAGACCAGGACAAAAAAGGCTGTTGGGTTCTTGGTTGACATGGTTTCCTTGTCAATCATGTCAACCAGGAGCAGTCGGAGGAATCGGGGACACTCAGCATGGAGAAGACATGCCCGGGGTCAGTTGCTTTTTCATGTATTTGTGGCTGGCAAATATTTAGAAGCAGGAAATGATATAAAGGAGATATGTATGTGAAAGGTGACACACAGTAACTAATCTAGATCTTAAAGAACAAGAAGAAAATAGACCGTCAAATGAAATGAATAATTAGCGGTATTCAGGACCAGATCATCAAAGCTTTAGCAAAGAAAACACCCAAAGTCAGGAAACCAGCCTGGGATGGACCCTCCACCTGTGCTACCCGAGATAAAGACGTGCAAATCCTTAAGGACCCAGGGAAATGCCTTCACCGCTAGATCTTGCCACATTCTACACATCACTACTTCCCAAGCAGAGAGTGTCAACAACCAAATCTTCCACAGATCGGACCTGCTTCTGGTCTTCTCCCCCATAAAGAGAAGGCCTAGGGCTACACCCAATGCTGCCTCTAAGGAAATGAGGACTGCAGGTAAACAGACATTAAGCTGTTGTTCTGTGATCTTGTCATCAGGGAAATCAGGCCTGAGAGCTGGGGCAGCCATTACGAGGGAAGGAGCTCATGTCACAAAACTCCTCTCATCTCATAATGAGCTTTCATTTAGACGGCAGGCGGTGGGAGGGGGAAGGAGAGGTAACCAGGTGTTTGAAATGCATTAAATTCTGACTCAGAGGCATGTATTCCCCATATCTAATGGTCAGGTTAAATGCAGTGACAGTGACTGTCTAACTAAAGAGAATTAATTCTGAATTTTTGCCATGGAGTAAAGTGAACAAGAGAGAAGGGTACTCAAATATCACCCAAGCTGATAATAAAAAACTTTCTTTTGGCTGGGCACAGTGGCTCACACCTGTAATCCTAGCACTCTGGGAGGCTGAGACGGGAGGATCGCTTGAGCTCAGGAGTTTGAGACCAACCTGAGCAAGAGTGAGAACATCTCTATTAAAAATAGAAAAATTAGCTGGGCATAGTGGCATGTGCCTGCAGTCCCAGCTACTCAGGAGGCTGAGGCAGGAGGATCACTTGAGCCCAGGAGTTTGAGATTTCTATGAGCTAGGCTGATGCCACTGCACTCTACTCAGGGCAACAGAGCAAGATTCTGTGTCCAAAAAAAAAAAAAAAAAAAAATTGTTTGATCATGGTAGTGAACTTACACATACAAAAACAGGTAGATAAAAGCTACCATACAGACCCCAGGCCATTCTGTGCATACAGAGGGATGAAGAGGCATGAAGACCATCTACTGGAGTCTAGAAAATGAAAATTAAACTTGGCTCTCAGCATAATTTTTCTACAGTGTTTAGATTTCATTTTTTTCCATACTGGAAAAATTCATGTAAAGATATAAAATCTTAAGACTAGGTATGTAGGTTATAAGGTTTTCTTTACTATTTAAAAATAATACATAGGTTCAGATGTTATGAAAACCATCTGAGTGCAGGGTAGTAAAAACAGGATCAGACTGAGAGCCGAACACTCAGTTCCTCATTCTGGCTTTGGCCCAACCCTGTAAAACAATGGCAATTATACCAAATTTCCATGGACTGATAAATGGATAAATTGCTGCTGTATATCCATATAATGGAATATTATTTGGCAATAAAAAGTAATGTATTATATGCTACAACATGGGTGAAACTTGGATATATCCTGCAAAGTGAAAGAAGCCAGATCACAAAAGCCACATATTGTATGATTCCGCTTATATGACATGTCCAGAATAGGCAAACCCACGGAGACAGAAAGGTTAGTGGTTGTCAGGGGCTGGGGATGAGGGGAATTGGGACTAATTGCTAAGTGGTATAGGGTTTTGGGGGGATCATTGAAATGTTCTGGAATCAGATAGTAGTAATGGTTGCACAATATAGAGCATATACTAAAAATCACTGAATTGTACACTTTAATACATTAACTGCCTGTGAGTTTTATTTAACTCACGCTAGTTTTGAGCCCAGGGCCTTGTGAAGCATATGTAACTCACACGTCTCTTCACCTTGGGAGCTGCGTGTACTATTTTTCAAGTTGCATATAACTCACGCGCAGAAAACAATAAAGAAAGATTTTTTTTCACTAAATTAGAAAGGATAGTTTTGTTTTCGAAGCTTTTATTCTATTTTCATAATAAAACACCGTGGCCCCAAGGAAATCTGTTTTTTTCTAGTGTGGCAGTCAATGTGATAAAATGGTGAGTTTTATGTTATGTGGATTATGTCTCAATTAAAAAAAATAGCAAACATAATAATACGGGGCAAGTTTTGAGTTCATTCTTTGCGTAGGTGCTTCATAGACACTATTTCCCTAAGAGCTGTCTTAACACAAGCAGAAACTGACAGCTCAGAAATATTAATTAGTTTGCCCACACTCACACAGCTACTAATTGGTGGATGCAAGTCTGCCTGATTCCAAAGCTCATACTGCGCCCACTGTGCAATTCTCCTCCTGCAATCATTAAATTAATAAACTAATATGCTTTAGTTTCCTCGTCTGTAAAGTGAGAGTGTTAAAATGGATCATCTCTCAGTCTCTTTCACATTCTAATAACTGTGAACACTTGTTTCCCAGGAAGAGTTCTGGGCATAAGGGAGCTAGCCATCCCAACAGGATTAATCCAATGCAGGGACAAAACATGAACCTGGAAAAACAGAAACATTATTTTACATCTGAGTTGTCCTAGACCTCCTGGACGTTTACCATCAACCCAAAAGAGATTTAGCCTAGAGAGGCAATTCATTTAAAATTGCTTTTGGGAATCCACCTTTTATACTAAAGCTCTGAGCAACTTGATGGGTTGTACGTAGAGACCATTTTTTTGGTACCAAAAAGGCTGGCCCATTGATTCAGAGTACAAGATCCGAAATATCTTCCCCCTCCACACTCTTGTGGAAGCTCCAAGAACCTTGGAAGGGGCCTGTGACCGAGAGCATTTTACTACTTCTGCAGGGTTCACATTGTGCAAAATGACAAAGCCAGAGGAGTTTATCTTTGTTCAGCACTATTTCCCTGTCCTCTCCTGGCTTCCTAGCAATAAATAAGACCCTGACACCTTAAAGGAACTGTATGACAGGTTATTTTATTCCTTCCTGGACACTGAATTTTCTAAGGTCATCCTGAAGACAAAGTGTGATGAATAAATTATGGACACTGAAGCAAGCTGGTGAGACTTTAGGTAGGGAGTAATTTTCTTACAATTCTTCAAATCACCTTGACTGTGGTGTGCCCACATCCCTTCTCCATCTGTGTTTAAACAATTTACCTAACTTTTTCAGCACCTTCTGGCTCATTCATACATCCAAGTCCCTTTCTCTGTTCAGTAGGATTCTTACCCAACATTAGAATCTTTACACTAAACTCCAAAGTCAGTATTTGAGAAAGAAGAAATGGAAGACAATCACGTGAGTTAGAAAAATCAAAGGCTTTCTCTTCAGAAACAGGTGTGTTAGTTTTTCAGAAGCTTCTCCATCACATAATTTTTTTATTTTCCCCGCAAATTTGAGATTTTCCTCTGTCATATAAAATTATTAATTCAATTCCAATTTGACTTTGACCTTCCCAGGATGACCTTCAGGGAAATAAGGAAAGAGCAGCGTATCCAGAAAGGAGGCTCTGCGTTCTAGCCTAGAACTTTCCCACTGAAATCTGTGGAAGTTCTTCACTTGGCCTTTTCTGAAAACCTCACTTCCTCCTCCCTTCCCCGCAAAAGGTGTCTTATCCAAAAGAGAGTTTTGAGCAACTCCTCTGTTCTTTGATGATGCATAATTCTGGAGCCTGGGCTCTCCAAGGGTGGGAGGCCTGGGAAGGGGTTGGCAGGTGAAGTTGGGGGCTTGGAAAAGCAGGAGAGATAAAGCTGCCCGGAGTTTCAAACCAGTAAAGACAGGGAAATAGCAGATAAGAAAGGGGCAGATACAGGGAGATGTCAGAAGCCAGAGACACATATAATTTATCTATGCCCTGATTCTATCAAAAGAGGGCGTGAGGCAACTGTACAATTTTGATACTCTGTTTTGCTAAAACCTTTGGAAAGAACAATTTCAAGATGTCTCTGAAAATCATCCTGGCCATTCGGCCATCGATTACTGATGCCTGGCACACACAGTGGGAGCTCAAGGGGGGCTGCCAAGCTGAGCCTTGGGTGTATACATGTGTGCAA